GGTCAAGTGATATAACAACTTAATATATTATGTTAATCTGAAATTGTATTAATTTGGTTTTTTAATAAACAGGCCCTGATGGTGGTGGAATAGACTACCGAAAGCTCGGCACAGCTCAAAAAAATTGTTTTTGCTCCATATGACCTTTAAAGATCTTATCGCCCTAACTTAATTTGCTGTAGGTCGATAAACATCCAAAACAATTTATTACTGTAAAACTATTTTGTTTAAACATACAATTTCTATGTTGTATATATTATCGTATAAATTCATTTTCACATCTTACAGGTATTTGTATAATTTAAACAATGTTTATAAATCCCAGCCCTGAAGATGATGTCAATAAAGATTGAAACGTGGCATGATAAAGAAAATGTTTTTCTAAACCTACATCACACCAAACCGCATCTCACTATCTTTAAATAGTCATTAATTAGGGTCACTAAATACTACTCATTACTGTAGGAATTGTAAGTGCGTTAGTCATTTCACAGTAGATTTTTTCACAATGCAGTGAAAAGGGAGACTGATCACCTGTGATACCGAAGAAAAAAAATGTGGAAATCGGATTTTGTGAATTTATTTAGGCCGATTATAGTTGACTTAATAAGCTATTCACCAACTGAAGATGTGAAAAAACGCGCATCATTCCACGCCCTCTCTGGGGATTCTATGGGATAGGCTATGTATCTGACACCGAGGGTTCTGGTCGCATGCTGAGAACTTACCGAGGGGAGGCAACGAACGTGGGAAAAGATTTCAATGAAACCTTTATGGTGATTCTAGGTCAAACAATATTAGACAAGTGTCCAAGCTTGCTTGTCATTTTTTAAGATAATTTAAATCAGATTTTTAAAACAGGTTTCCTGCCTTTTCTATATATTTCGAAGCTATTATATATTAAACTATTTGTCACCTAGGATTAGGAAATAATATGGAAGATTGTATTAATCAAGATTAGAGTCTATAAAATGTTACACAAACCAAAAACGCCATCAGTAATAAAGGCAAAGGAATGTTAAAGAAACCAACAATTCTGATTCGTTTTTAACTCTCTTTAAAGCTATTAAATAAGAATTTTTATGCTGAACTGGCATTGGGTCACTTATTGGGTCCGACATCACTCGCGGGTTTGTTGAACCTCTCAAACGCTTTCCGGCATTGTGCCTTTTCCAGAGAGGAACTCTAATAAATTTTTATAGGAAAAAATAGGCATTTTTGAGCTGGATTAGCCGGGGTCAAATTTTTCTTCGATGTCCGTTGATCACTTAAAAATTGCCATGGAATTTTCCCAATGTCTACGGCATTAGGACCGTTGGAAAGTTATATCAACAACCATTAGTTTTTATTTTATTATAAGTGAGAGCATAAGGATAAAATTAATAAAAAAAACCACAATCGTTTTATTTTACAGCTCAGGTTATGATTTATTTAAGGAAGGCTGGTGTATGATATTGCATGTAGGTTAACGATTTTTAATCCTCTGTAAAATTTCGTATAAATGAAATTCGTGCATAGAAAAGGCAGAAAGCCATGTTTAAAAAAATAGGGATTTTTGGGCTGGATTAGCTGGGATCATTTTTTTCTTCGGTGTTCGATGATCAATTCAAAATTGCCAATTCACTTGGAATTTTTTCAATGTCTGCAGTATTAGGACCGTTGGAAAGCTGCATTTCTATTCTTTGAGCTTATATCAACAACCGTTAATTTTATTTGACTATAAGTGAGAGTATAAGGATGAAATTAATAAAAAACCCACAATCGATTTATTTAAGGAAGCCTGGTGATATAGCATATAGGTTAACGGTTTTTAATTATCTTTAAATTTCGAAATACGTGCATAGAAAAGGCATAAAACCATGTTTAAAAGATTTTTAATTATCTAAAAATTTTTCGCGCCAGTTTTCTGTCCAAGAAAGTATCAGTATTTGTATAAATCAGTATCAGAAAATATTTGATCAAGTATTTGAAAGAGGTTACATTGAAATCTGTTCTCATGTCCAAAGCCTCTCTTTGTAAGTATGCTGAGAAAAGCACCCTTAGTATCAGGAGCTTGGTACGTAAGTGCCTAACGCGTAGGATAAGTAGGGAGGGTTTTTACAATTTTAAAAACTATTACAATTTTTAAATGTGTGTGCATGGATGTGTTCTGCAATTAATTATAATTATTATTATATTGTTAATTTAGTCAGACCAAGATGAATGATAGGTTTATCACCCCTGAGACCACAGGAACCCTCACAAATTGTATTTTGTCTAGTATTAAAATCTTCTTTTAAAACTAGCAGTTACACACTTGGAATGTTTAAAATTCATAAAATTGCTTTTTGCGAGCCTGATAATTTTCTTTTTTTTATTCCTCACGTCTTACCTATAATTTAAAATTTAATATCGTGAACAATCCACAGGGCCTATTTTTTCCTGTTCGGAAGTAACAAAAAAGTCAACTTTAACCGTATCCACGTTGAGATAACGACTGGGCTGATATAGAAATCAATCCGGGTGTACAACAGTCGGAAAGTTTTATCACGTTTTTTAATTTTGTAATAAATAAATCGTGTAAATTACGTCAAACTTGCACTTAAATTAATCGTGTTTTTAATTGATGTTAGTGCTATTTAATTTATTATTTGATTTGTGAACGAGCTGGTTGAACGGCTGAACGGTCGAATTCAGACAATTCAAATATCGGTTTTGTATTAAAAACCCATCTATTTTTTTAAGCTCAAAAACATGGACGTTTAAAAACAGGCAATTATTATAAAATTAATATGGCATTGAAGAAACTTACCATAATTTTTAAAGGAGGGTTCTCCTAGTGAGTTTTGGAGGCGGTGTGTATCACTGAATATATAACTGTAATACAGAAATATAATAATCACTATTCGTTGGTACTGATTTTACACAGAAAAATTAAACACGGCGGATAAGAAATTGAAGACTGAAACGATGGCGTTGCCCGCAGCCCTTTCTTATCGCTGACCGTCAGAATGAGCCACAAGGATAAAAATACTTTTAAAAAATCTAATTAGAGCAGGCCATAACAACAAATAATTAATAATCAATACGCGTACAAATAAGCTTATCGATAGTTGAAAAAAAACCATAAAACCAGCCGATTATTCAATATCAATCGTAATGTGGCGAACTGCACTAGTTTAATTAATCCATGAATTTTTTAAGAATTTGTACGAATGTTAATTAAAAACTATTAATTAACATAGAATAGTAAATATGTATGCAGAGGTTTAAATTGTAAAAGGAATAATTTATAAAATATCACTAAAATAAATTATATTTATGATTAGTCTAGATTAGATTAGAACCCTAATTAATCAGATTTGAGAAAATTATGTTTTATTGATTTGTATCTTAGTGCTTCTTAATTGTTCTTCATTTATATGGAATAAATTTTTCTACTAAAAACAAACAGCACTATTAAAAAAAATCATTAAAGAGTAATAAATTGTCATATAGTTGTTTGGCTGCGGTTAGTATACGGAAATCGTTCTTTTAGAAGAAGAATAAGAAGAACAAATAATATATTTATACATTCTAATAACAAAAAACTCAAAGTTTTTTTCAAAGTTAAAACAAAATTTGAAATTAAACTGTATTTACATATGTAGATGTATATAAAAAGAAAGTATTTTACAACACGGAAAATCCGTCAGTTGGAGATCTGTTTCTTATTTTATTATTTATGTATTATTTTATTACATGTTTCTTAATTAATCAACTTTTACCAGTTAAATTCACTTATTAATTTATGTTGTTGGTATGGCCATTTCTCTTGGGAAAATTTCGCAATATTTTTATAATTCTTTATGTTGGTCAATAAGGCTATAAAAGTTTTCTTTTTTTGGAATCGATCGTATGCCTAGATAATAAAGACGAAACTCTACAACTAGTACACTCGGCCATTAAGTGAATACATCTTTTGCACCTAAGATGCACATAGAGCAAGTTTCACTGAGGTTTCCCTCTTTCCAAGGTGGTGAGTTCAACTACATTTGTTCACATCTGAATTTAATAAACCTACGGAGTTCTGACAATCGGTAGACTTTTATCGTCGTGTTTGTTGGGTCGAAGATCGCCAAAGATGGATTCATCTCTTTGTAGTGTAAGTAGTGCCTCGAAGCTCGCGCTTTATTTAAACAGTCTTCCTGAGAGCTACTTTGTTTGGAAGTTTCGCTGAAAAGTCTGTCCAGTTGCTTATATTTTCTCGTGAAAAAGATAAACCACATTCCAGATCCCTAGACTTAAAATTCTAATGGATAAGCCATGCACCTCCCTGTTCAATAATCTTAAGAGTGTGTGTTTCTTAGTGACGTATTGTTTCATAATTTGTTAAAGTCGTGAGGAGCAGTCAAGAATGAGGTAGTTTAGAAAAACACGCACACAACACCTTCATACAACATCAATATGACACCACAACACTAGCAGCACTTTTTATGCCTGAAGATGACCCGAATAAAGGTCGAAACATCAGCAAAGGTGTTTTTCTAGACTACCTCATTCTTGACCTATCTTCACGATTTTAGCAAATTAATCTTAAGTGCTGAAATTTGTGTTAGAGGTGAATCTTGCCGTGAGCAAGCATAATTCACGTGTAGCTCCATCATGACTATTTATAGAGGGGTTGGTGTTTGATTCTATGGAAACCATATAATTTCGTCTTGACTCGCGGAGAGAGAAGAGTTTTTAATCAAATATTTGAACACCATTTCAACTTCTTCTTACTGCCGATACCCCAGATCTCCCAAGCGTAAGTCAGAATAGCTCGGCATGCTCCGCTGAACACCCTCATCTTGCCGGACCAGGCGGACCAGGGAACCAAGTCTTGCCACAAAAGAGCCCTCGGCAGTAATAGCAGTTTTGGTTGAGGTTGCTTTTTCTTTCAAAAAAAGAATAAACAATTTTGACGATTATGTAACTCCTTTTTTATATCCAGCGAAAATTATATGAACCGTTTTATTGAAGGTCAAAAAACAAGACAATTTGGTCTATTCATTTTATTATAAAACATTTTACACATTATTCAAAGACGTTGCTTTAAAAACGTATGTACACAAATATAAACAAACATTTCACAAATATATAAATTTATATAACAGTAAAACATGAGAAAATTATTTCAATTATTTACAAATGGTAATAAAATATATAATCACGTGTTGGTCCGTCAGTTTGCGGGTGAACTGTTGGCTGTGGCAGTTGACGTTGATTGGATCGAAATGGGACCGTGAAAACAACCGAGACAACTGTTAAATCCAATTGTGGTCGAGGCGTTGGCGTGAGCTGCAGTTGTAGCTTTCCCGTCTCCCACAGACGCCATGGCGTCACTGATGGAAGATATCATAATTGGAAATCCGGTCTGTTTGCTTTTCCCAAAAGCGTCATCAATGGTGTCATCTTTGTGAAGTTTTGAAGTTAAAAAGTTGTGTTCTTGGGGGTTCTCATGGTTGTCACCATCGGTTTTCATGTTTACTAACGAAGGAGTCACGTGTCTGTAGACGATTTTGTGATTGTGCATTCCTTCAAAGACGATATCACCGCCTAAATCTAAATTTCCGTTTGTTTGGGTTCTGAGCCCGGTGTTACTGCCTGCGTTTTTATTGGCTCCGATTCCGCTAAATCCACCACTGCCGGCTGCTGCGCTGCTCGAGGCTGAGCTTTGTGCACTTGATCCTGATCCTCCTGAACCATCACCTGCACTGGAGTAAGAACCTCCTGAAGCTTGGCTCTGGGAAGCTCCTCCGAAACCACCTGCCGCACCTCCTCCGGCTGTCGCACTGCTGGCCGCTTGGCTATTGGCAATTCCGCCTACACCGCCACTTCCATATCCTTGTCCTTTACCTCTAAGACCAAACTGGAAGTTAAGACCGCCGATACCGAAACCTCCGTTGCCCCTTGCTCCGGCATTGCCTCCAAATAGACCCAATTTTGGAAATCCAAAGGATCCACTTTGAGAACTGGCTTGGCTAGCAGCAATGCTGCTTGCGGAAGCTCCACCGCTGCCTCCGAATCCCGCACTGGCACCAGAAGCTGCATTACTGACTGATCCTCCACCTCCATGAAGTCCGGCTGAGCCACCGCTTTGTGAACTTGCTACAGAACTGCTAGCGGCTTTGCTAGTTGTTAGCGATCCGCCCAATCCTCCCTGGAATCCTACACCACCACCGGCATTATGTCCGAATCCACCTCCTCCAGAAACTCCCCCGCTAGCGACGGCATTACTGGCAGCGTTGCTCTGTGAAGATGCTCCACCAAATCCGCCTCCACCCACTGCGTTATGACCATATGCACCTCCTCCAGAACCTCCACTTGCCACAGCACTACTGGCAGCGTTGCTCTGTGAAGAAGCTCCACTAAATCCGCCTCCAGCCACTGCGTTGTGCCCATATCCACCTCCTCCAGAACCTCCACTTGCGAGAGCACTACTGGCCGCATTGCTTTGCGAAGAAGATCCACCCAATCCGCCCTGGAATCCTCCACCGCCTCCAACGTTTTGTCCATATCCAACTCCTCCAGAACCTCCACTTGCCACGGCACTACTGGCTGCGTTGCTCTGTGAAGAAGTTCCTCCAAATCCTCCCTGAAAACCTCCGCTACCTCCGACGTCGCGTCCATATCCCCCACCGACAAAGCCTCTTCCATTGAATCCTCCATTTGCAAGAGCACTACTGGCCGCATTGCTTTGCGAAGAAGAACCACCCAATCCGCCCTGGAATCCTCCGCCGCCTCCAACGTTTTGTCCATATCTAACTCCTCCCGAACCTCCACTTGCCACAGCACTACTGGCTGCGTTGCTCTGCGAAGAAGATCCTCCTAGGAATCTTCCACCACCAGTTTGTCCATATCTGCCTCCAACAAAACCACCTCCATTGAATCCCCCATTTACGACAGCATTACTGGCGGCGTTACTCTGGGAAGAAGCTCCACCAAATCCTCCTTGGACTCTGCCGCCACCCACTACGTTTTGTCCATATCCTCCTGAACCACCTCCTTGAAACCCTCCACCTGCTGATGCACTACTTCCGGCGTTACTCTGTGATGAAGAACCGCCAAATCCACCGTTGAATCCTCCCCCAACAAGGCCAGGAGAGTAACCTCCTCCACCACCTCCTGCTGCGGCAGAGGCGGCAGAAGCTGCGGATGAACTGCTACCACCATTCCAACCTCCTGCTCCTCCTCCAGCAGCAGAAGAGGAACCAGCACTGGCCGCTCCTTCACCTCTGGCGTAACTTGAACCGAATCCAATCGATCCTAAGGGTCCTCCAAGTGTAAAACTGTGGGAACTGGCTCTATTACCCCCTCTTAAAACGGAGATTGGTTTATGGATCGCTGCATCTATAACTCCTCCGAGGGCCCCGAGCAGCACACCACGCTTATTTCTTTCTGTAATCATACGTAAAATTAATACATCTAAACATTTTGTTACGGTTTTATTAGTCTTTATATCATTAGATCATTATACTAACTACTACACTATATATTTGTTTACTGCCAACTGTATAAATTATATACATTATGTAAGAAGATACAGTATTGTTTATAATTTGCATATAATCTGAGGGGAACGAGCAACAATTGCTGCTCTCAAAGCATTCTTAATTTTTAGGTATGTATTATTCGTAAGAAGGTCATCTCCGCTTCAGTCGCCTACGGGATGGGTAATGCTGGACACGGTGAATGTGCTAGGATGTGAGAGTAGTTTTTCATGGAATGTGGAAAATATGTTGGGAGTAGGGAGCGTTGACTAGGATTCTGAGGGCTTTGAATTGTAAGTTGGAAGGTTTAGCGGTGCCGTACAGTTCTAACCGGTAAAATCGGTTTCAGTAGTGTCTTATAAAATGTTAGTTAGTTATTTGTTGACAAGTGTGATGTTCTTGATAATAATTTGTACAATACTCCGAAGGGTCTATTTAATTATTGTCTTTTAGTTCGTGAATATTCCAGGTTAGACGAGGGTTGAAATAGAACCCAAGGTAGCGTGCTAAGTCAGTTTTTAGGATAGGAGTATTATTGAGAGTAAAAATGGTATGGGCGCATTTGCTTCCGTTTATTTTAATGCGCAAGAATTTGCTTCATTCTGCTTTTCGCAACACTGGATCCTGGAGCTCGTCCAAAGCAATTGCAGGATCAGAATCAGAGTTAGCACAGCTGTGTCGCCAGCAAAGGAAGTTAGGAGAGTGGAGGGTGTAGTCGGGAAATCTGAGGTAAAGCTGAAGAACAATTGGTCCGAGTACACTGCCCTGTGGCACTCCTGCTCCCACATTAATTCGGAGTAAACCAATCCTTGGCGAACTCGGATGAATCGTTCTGTTAGGATTAAGTTAAAGTTAGTACAAGGCGAAGGCCATGCTTTTCATTTGTAGGAGATCTTCATGCCACACGCGATCAAACGATTGTGTCATGTCAAGAAAGGCCCTCCCCCCATGCAGTTTTTTTTTACGCTCAAGGGATGAGGATATGTGATCAACAACGCGACGCACCTTCTGATTTGTAGAATATTGAGGAGGAAAACCGAGAAGGTTGACTGGGGGGTTAACTGTAGGGATCAATCGTTTAAGAAGGATCTTCTCAAATATTTTTGATTGGAAAAAAGTTGATTGGACGGTAGGAAAAAGCTTTATTGGATGGGTTTGCCGGGTTTTGGTAAAAGGATGGTATTGGAGTACATCCAGAGCAAAAGGACGAGTGGTGCGGAATACACTATTATAGAGATATGTGGGTAGGATGACGGCTATTTTGGCGAATTAGCGGAGTATTTGGACGTGATGAGATCCAGGAACCTTATCATTCGGCATCTGATTCATAATAAATTTTACCTCTGAGGAAGTAACTGCTTGGGTGGAATGAACATGAGTGAGTAATGGATGTGAGGGACTCAAGGGAATACAATCATATTACACACTCAAATAAACACCTTAAAAATAGAAATAATGCGAAGAAATAAGGCGGGAAATCAGAAGCAAGGAATTTGGAAATGAATATACATTAAAAAAATAAAAATAAAACCGAAGGAAAAGGAATAATACACGTAATATAGCGAGATTCCAATGACTGGACAAGCGTGTTTTTTTTTAATATAATTTATGACGCAGATGAAATGTGATGTCTTTTTCATTTTGGTCGTTATAAGTACTGTTGAAAATACGCTAATCTTCGCTACATAATTTACATAACGACCGGCGAAGAACCCAAACCCAATTAATGCTATCTGATCCCACTGTCCTTGAATACTGTTTTTTTCGTTCTTGGTCAGTTTTCCTTACTAGTTTTGGTTTATTAAATACATAAAACAATTTATTAAGGATAGTGGTGTTTTATAAAATCATATATATTTTTCATTTTTCACTTTCTCTTTATTTTTTGTATTTAATGAAAAATGTCGTAGTATTTCTTAATTTTAAGAGGATGACATTGATGCACCACAAAAATCTAAATATCTTCTCATTGAATAATAGAATTCTCATTGAATAATTTTATGAAAAATACAGAATAAATCAAATAGAACATTTCTAAAGGAAATTATTAAAACTTGTATATACGTATATTATTGTTTGTATTTGAACATGACCATTTATGGAATATAATATTCTCATTTGGCTAACTATTTTGGCAGGTATTCTTTATTAATTGTTATATAAATATTGTCACTTTGCATCGAACCGAATGATTTTGTTAATCGACGTTAGGAAAAAACTTCATTAAACAATTTTAATTTCTTGGGAAACTTTAATAAATGCAGCCGAGGGCGACCTGGTTACTGTCGTCACATCCTTGAACGCGAGAAAAGTTACTACCTATGGCTTAAATACGATATGAGGATGACCGTGTATGCCTTCCTTTAATACGTTTTATTTTATTTTTTTAATATCTATTAAGTAAGGTTCTTCTTTCGAGGCAAATATATATGACAATTTAGATCGATAATAGATAAAGATGGAGAGAGAGAAAGACAGAAGGAAAAGAGAGAGAGAGAGAGAGAGAGAGAGAGAGAGAGAGAGAGAAAGAGAGAGAGAGAATTAAAGGAAATTTTAAGGAAAAATAGAAAATAGTAAATTTCATTTCTTTATAAGAAAATGAATAGTAAATGAAAAATGAGAGTGCGAAGAAGAGAGGAAGATAGAAAGAATGGAAAATGCAGAAAGGATTAAGGGAGAGACAGAGATGGAGAGAATGAGAGAAAGCGAGAGAGAGAGAGAGAGAGGGAGTTAAAATAAATTTTAAATAAAAATTTATAAAAGAAATTTAATTGGTTTAAAAGAAATTAAAGCGTAAATGTGAAAATTGTTGAAAGAGAAGAAGTGAGAGTGCGAGGAAGAGAGGAAGATAGATGGAATGAATAATCAGAGAGGGGTAGAGAGAGAGAGAGACAATGATAGAGAGAAGGAGAGAGAGAGAGAGAGAGAGAGAGAGAGAGAGAGAGAGAGAGAGAGAGAATTAAAGTAAATTTTATGAAAAAATTTAAAAACTAAATTTAATTACTTTAAAAGTCATTAAAGCGTGAGTGTGAAAATGGGTGAAATAGAAGAAGATAGATGGAATGAAAAAATCAGAGGGGGTTAGTGGCGAGGGGGTGAGAGGGAGAGAGGGAGAGGGGGTGAGAGGGAGAAAGAGAGAGAAGAGAAAGTGAAAATGACATGTTTAACGTAACAACAGTTTTAACTATCGGCAGTGATCACTTTACTGAGTCCGCCTATTATCACTTCTTGTCACGAAAACGCATAACTTTACGCGTAAACTGGCGAGAATAGACGGATCCAGTAAAGAGATCAGGTCAACTGAATCCTCCTCTCGCAGCCCAACCAACAACACCAGCTTTTGAATACATGTTGCTGATAAACACAGATATAGTGATGTGTAAATAAAATATTAGGTAGTAATGGAGGTATAGATTTAGGTCTTTATGGTAAGTTATAGTAAATAGGCAGAAAATGGTAGCGAGAGAGAGAGAGAGAGAGAGAGAGAGAGAGAGAGAGAGAGAGAGAGAGAGAGAGAGAGAGAGAGAGAGAGAATAATAGGTAGACAGAGGGTAAGATCTAGAAAAAAATTATTGATACACAGTATCATATTTAGTTATTTTAGCAATTTTTTTTACTACAATTTTGATTAGTCCATTATTTTGAAAGTATGTGTTAGTGGCAGAATACACAACATTGCATATCTTGGAATTTGGCTAGCTTAAATTGTTAAGTACCTTTAGTATAGGCTTCTCCATCGTTGCCCTGGATGATGAGGCCGATGGCCACAATCAAGAAGATACCTTTACTCCGTAACATCACAATTCTTGTCGGCAAATACCTCCGAGTATGGATATATAATACTTCTTTAAAGGATCCCCCTCCATGATTTTGGGCACCGCCTCCGGTCCGTCCGGTCCCAGCGGGTTTTCCACCGTACGAGCAGAGGGAGGGCAGAGAGAAAAAAAAGAAAAAGAGAAATAGAGTAAAAACTAAAACAAATCCAGAGGTCACATATGTATTTTTACCTTTCCGCACGTAACAGAGCATTGTGTCAATTATTGTTTCACACTGGATGACTCCGGTGATTACCGACCCGACATTTAACAATGAGAGGACATTCAACCGCTTCCGATATGCCTTTTATGAGTCATTTAATCGAAATTGAAATGTCTACAGTTACACTTTATACTTTCGAGAACTTTTAAGGGGTAATAAAACAGAACTTCACCCTTGATCCTTATCATGGTAACTTTGTTATTCCACCCCATTGACTGAATTGATTGAAACAAATAGCTAAAACATGCCCTTGCGGGAGCTACATAATTTCAAACGTGTTAAACGTTCATTAAACGCGACACAAAACTAAATATAAGAAAATGTGTAGTTTAGGCCTAGTTCATTTGATCGTTAAACTGAGCAGGGTTTTGGCAGAAAAATAAAAAGTAAATCAATACATAAAAGTATAGACAATGTAAACAATCTTGTATATAATTTTCTTTCGTACGTATTGTACGTTTTTATATGATGATTGCAACAATAGAATGGAATAATGCTTTAAAGCACAGGAATGTTGAACCTGGTTTACCTCACCACAAAATGAGAGCTTAAGGTTAATAAAACCCTAAAAACATTCCAGTTTGTAAAAAGAAAAGATACATCGAAAGATTTTTGAGAAAGAAACGTTAGATAATTGGACATTAGACAAAGAATAGATAACAGTGTATGTGGGAATATGAACAGAGAAGAATATAAATAAATATAATATAAATATATAATATAAATAAATTTGTTGAGACATTTCTCATGGGTTTTGTAATTTTGGTCATCGCTTTTTCGGTCCTCGCCCTGTTTATATCTCTGACTCCCCACTGAAAATTGCGAGAAGCTGAAATACGAGAATAGGCAGATCGAAAAAATTGGAATCGACTAAACTACAAGTTCATCAGCGAACCCCGTGAGGAAAATTGAAAGCGATTTTATGACATTTTATTAACTATTGTTTAAATCAGAATCAGTGTCAAGAAATAAATAAATTTTATGTACGTAAGTATTTCATCATAATGTCACAATCTCCTCTTCCATTTCGCTCTGTCCAATACGACTCTCTTCCAAGTAGCTCACCATTATCCGACAGTTTGCCATTTCTCGATCCCATTTCATTTTAGGTCTGCTCCGCTTTCTTATTAAATCTCTTCATATATCTCCCATCTTTTTCTTGTACAATATGTCGTTTACTTCCATTTTCTTCCAATCACCTACGCAGCGTCTTCCAATTTAGTTTGTTCTCTTATCCACCTGTTCGTTTTACTACTTCTACTTATCTTTGTAAGCTTGTTTTCATTCTTTTCACAGATTTAATTTATTTATCGATGTCTTACTTTTTTAAACCCCAACTTTCGCAGGCATAGGTTAATTTTGTTTTACCACAATGTTTCATAGTTCCGTCTTTATTTCTATTTGAGAGTTTGATTTCTATAGATAATTTCTCATATTTCTTCTAAATTCCCCAATTTAAGCACACTCTCCTAGTGGTTGTTTTTGTACATTCTGTTTTCGTTGTGTAATATCAATCCTAACATTCAAATTCATCAACTTCCTCAACTGGTTATTTATTTATTTTTAATTCTGGATGTATTACTGTTTATCCTTATGATTTTGGGTTTTTTAAATTTGTTTTTAACCCAATATCCTTTGCAAACGGAATTATATCTTTTAACATATTTTTTATTCCTTCTTTTGTTTTCTAGTTAAAACCACAACATCACAGTTTGCAGTTTTTCTCCATTTAGTATAACATCCTACATGTATTTGTAAAATTTAAACAATGTTTATAAATCCCAGGCACTGAAGATGGTCTCAATAAAGATCGAAACGTTGGCACGATAAAGAAAATGTTTTTCTAAAACCTGCGTCACACCAGACCGCACCTCACGATCTCCGAATAATCATTTAGTATAACTTTTCTTTTTTTGTTAAGATTCTCTCCTTTTCTTAACAATATTCCGAAACAACTTTGGATATTTTCATATAAAATGTATCACCATGACGTAGACCTCTTGCAATCTTGATATTTATCATCTCTTCATCTCCATTTATCTGTATTTCAGCCCCTTTGTAAATAAATTGTAATATTTTAATATAGACTTCTTGTATAGCTTAGTTTCTTAGAGTTGTTAAATCGGTCTCCGTAAATACGATATCAAAAGTTTGTTCGATTATAATTCAAATAAGTTGATTTACCATGAGTAAGAGTTTATATTTAAAAAGTATTTTTGAAGTGAAATTTCCATGCTATTGCTTTCTTATTTATCGGCTATATATATCTATATAATTTAAATGATATATTAAAGTGTATGTATTGATTTGAATTGGATTAGAAACGTTTCCAGAGGCCCCAGGGGTTAGTCGCATTTTCCCCCAATTTGTGTTATTGACATCATTACTAATCACCATGGTCGTCACTTATAAATCGGCTAGGATGGCCTAGACAAGATAATTGTTTTTCAGCCTACGACATGATACCTGTCTTTTGTCTTCTCCTGGCCACGGCAACGGCTTCACCGACGGGTATGTCATTCGATTATGCTATTTATGGCTGTGGTTTATACCTGTGGTTTTGTTTGAAAAGAAAAAGAGAAATTATCATAATTCGCGTTGATTTTTTCTGTACGCCTCAAGGCGGGACTGATTAATGTAGATTCTTTTCATTTGACGTTTCCATTTAAGCATCTTTATTAAAAATTGAGAATTTATCGTTTTGGTTGAAGCTATTAATTTTTTGGCTTTTCAAGGTAGTACTGCTTATATTAATGACGAATTATTGACCAGTGAATCAACTTTTTTTTTAAATATGCATGATTCATTAAATTTATAGTATCTGTGCTTCTACAATGGATGTTTTTAAATATACAAGATTAAATATTGAAATTTAAATATTTATGGTTATTATTAGTAGTGTAAGTAGTTAACAAATTAATAAGTATTCTAATATAAGATTTTTTTTGTTTTTCAGTCGTCGGAACGGGCAAAGTGTACGTTGTCTTTTTATAAAAGGACGAGCCAATTGAAAAGAAATCTTTTAATTTGTTTTTGACATTTTAGCTTAGGGCTAGGCGTCAGTAGTGGACTTAGTGTCGGAGGAGGGTTAGGCGTCGGAGGTACTTCTGGATTGGTGTCAGGGTCCGGTGTTGGACTGGGCGGTCTAAGTGGAGGAGTCGGCGGTGGATTTGGAGTCGGTGGAGGATTCGGAGTCGGAGGAGGATTTGGACTCGGAGGAGGAGTCGGAGGTGGACTTGGAGTCGGAGGATCAAGTTCATTGGCATCTACATCAACTGTCGTGGGTGGTGCGGGCGTCGGAGGATTTGGATTAGGTTAGTTTTGTCATTAAATCCAATCATACTTTACCGAATAATCATTTTAATTAGTAACACTCAACGTTCTTATAATTTATGTTAACACTTAAATTAATAATCTAAAAGTACAAGGGTTATGGACAGATTTGAACCCAGAACCCCTAGCATGACGGCAAGTACGAATCTGAGCACACTATTCTTGAGGCATAATTTGATAATTAAAAGACATTCTTAAAAATAAAACTCTTAATAGAAAATGATGTAAGTTCTTATATGTAAAGAATATACATCCGGAATTCTAAACAGAATCTGCATTTTAAATATTCTAATAGAATTTTTTTTATAATAATGTATCTGTGTTTTTCTTGTATAAGTAAATTTATATTATTGCATGGATATGATGGTTGTTTTTAATGATCAACTGAACTGATTTTCAGGCCATGGAGGTATAACTAGCGGTCATACAGTTACAACACACGGAGTACATCAAGGAGTACATGGTGGCGTAGGGGTCCATGGTGGTGTTGGTGTCCATGGCGTTGGAGTTCATGATGTGAGCCATAGTGTGACCCATGGAGTTAGCCATGGGGTCGGAGTCCAAGGGGTCGGAGTCCATGGGGTCGGAGTCCATGGTGTCGGAGTCCATGGAGTGTCTCAAGAAACTCATTCCTCCAGCTCTTCCCACGTGGTTTCAGGAGGCCTGGTGTAAATTATAAAAACAATATACCACTTGTTTTACTCTGAGCATTCTATTTATTTTAAAATCATACATCGTTTGAAAATGGAGAAACGTCCAGCTTGTAATTCAGAAAGCAAATTTGGTACTGGTGTACAGCTTGTTTAAACACGCATTTTGGGTATAACAAAAAAGATAGCAACTAGTGAGTAACAAAGGGATTGCATAATTTGGACTGTTTGACCGAGCTAATTGGGCATCACTTGATAGCAGGTTACTCGAGGAATTTACGGACCGGGAATCCAGACGGGGTTTTATTTCTTTCATGTTGATTCATCACTGGAACTCCATTATTTTTTAATTTCACGGCATTGATTTATTTCAATTATATTTTTGTTTGATTTACTTAGTTAATTTTTAAAAGTGATTATCGACAATATATTCAATTAATGTATATTTGGACGGATGGAATTTGGATGGCAATATATATGGATGGCTGTATCAGTCGTGATTCTTTATTTCTAATTCCTACAATCCTAATTAAGTGAGTTTCCAATTGTAAAATATATCTATAAATAATAAAACTTTAAAAAAGATAATTTAAAACTTGGCTAAAACCTCCCCAACGAATAAAATTAATTTAATGGTACTTGATTGAAAGCACCGCAAGGTCAGAAATCATTTACTTGATGTCTTGATAAAGAGTTTCACAAGAAAATAATTTTGTTCGATCATGCTTGACAAAAGCGTCACAAAAATAGACAAACAATATTTACTTGTGCAAGAAATTATATGATTAGTAATTTATGTTAATAATTTCGTTTGTTTATATTTGGTAAAAACTTAACAAAAAGATAATTTTGTTAGATCGTATTTGGCAAAAGCTTTACAAGATGATTATTTTATTAGCTTATGCTTGGTAAAAATTTTATAATAAGATTAAAGTACATACTTAGTAAAAGCTGTGCAAGAATACATTTTTGCTGGTTTATGCTTGGTAAAAGCTTTACAAGAAGAGAATTTTGTTAGTTTACACATAGTAAAAGCTTTACAAGAATTTGTTTTTGTCAGTTTATGCTTGACAAAAGTATCACGAGAAAAAACAAACTTTATTTACTTGTGCAGAAAATTAATTAATTAATAATTTATTTTAATAATTCCGTTGGTTTACACTTGGTAAAAACTTAACAAGAATATATTTTTTCCAGTTTATCTTGTTAAAAGCTTTACAGGAAGAGAATTTTGGTAGTTTACGCTTGGTAAAAGTTTTACGATAGAATATTTTTAAGCTTTACAAGAGAAGAATTTTGTTAGTTTATGCTTGGCAAAAGTGTCACGAGAATAAACAAAATAAACAAACTTTACTTATGCAAAAAATTATGCAATTAATAGTTTGTTCTAATAATTCAATCGGTTCATACTTGTTTAATGTTTCACAAGAAGAAAATTTTGGTAGTTTATGCTTGGAAACAGTTTTACGATAGAATATTTTTAAAATTTATACTCCGGTAAAAGCTGTGGAAGAAGAGAATTTCGCTAATTTATGTATGTTAAAAGCTTTGAAAGAAGAGAATTTTGTTTATTTATGCTTGGCAAGTGTCACGAGAATAAAACAACTTTACTTATGCAAAAAATTATGCAATTAATAATTTGTTCTAATAATTCCGTCGGTTCATACTTGTTTAATGTTTCACAAGAAGAAAATTTTGGTAGTTTATGCTTGTAAACAGTTTTACGGTAGAATAATTTTAAAATTTATACTCGGTAAAAACTGTGGAAAAAGAGAATTTTGTTAATTTATGCTTGGCACAAGTGTCACGAGAATAAAAAAATTTACTTATGCAAAAAATTATGCAATTAATAATTTGTTCTAATAATTCCGTCGGTTCATACTTTAATGTTTAATGTTTCACAAGAAGAAAATTATGGTAGCTTATGCTTGGTAACAGTTTCACGATAGAATATTTTAAAATTTATACTTGGTAAAAGCTGTATACTGGTGAGAGAGAATTCTGAGAGTTTATGCTTGTTAAAAGCCTTACAAAAAGCAAATTTTGTTAATTTATGCTTGGAAAATGTGTCACAAGAAAAACAAACTTTACTTACTTATGCTAGGGGGGCTAAGGAGTCTTAGAAAGAAATGTTTAAAAAATCACAGAACTTCTGATGACTTCGAATCGGCTCCATTTTGCTCCTCAGGAAACTTTACAAGGTAATTTTCTTTTCAATTAAATTCGTTCCTACTTAGCTAAAAGCTAGGGGAAAAGGTATTTAATTCGTTTACATTTGGTTAAAATCTCCACAAGGAATAAATATAATTCATTTTTAATTGCCTAAAAATTCCCGAAATGGCGAATCATTTCCACATTCTTGATGGTAGGGACGAAATTGCTTGACGTGGGATTCTTATTACTCTGATGACTATGTCTGGAAGGAAATTTTCCTCGGCCCGTTTAATTACGAGTTGTTATAATTCAATTTCCAATCTCTTGGTCATTTATAATTAGAAATAGTAGGATGTTTGTGAGCTGTTCCTCTTATTTTTTTTATAATTTGTTTTCGATCTAATGTTCATTAGACAGTTACGGTCGAATGGAAGTTTTCCGACCAAATAGACATTAATGGAGTGCACTTCCTCTCCAGAAGATTTTGTTATATTCAATCAGGGTTAAATTATTAACCAGAGCCTGTTACTTTCTATTACTTTTATAGGCAAGGATGTTTTGTATATTTTTCGTTCACCTTTTCTCAGGTTGCAAGAATTTTTTTGAAAGTATTCACAATAAACATATAGAAAGTTTCATCAGATTGTCGAGGATAAAAAAGGATATACACTGGAGGCAAAAAAAGGATTATAAAAAAGGAACTTTATTTAGATGAGAAGAAAAAAACAAATTTGAATAAATTAACAATTTACATTTGAATCGATGACGAAGAGACTAGTAATCAAAGAAGTCAAACCTAAAATAAAATTCACTTGTTAGTAACAAAAAAATGATAATCTGTGACTATAAACAAAAACTGATATGATAATAACAAAGCAACAAATTTCTGTGTATTATGTGTCAAAAGTGAATATACAGAACTGGGATCAATCACAATTCGAGTAATATTTTAAAATCAATTTTTTTCTTATTAGACGGGTTGTGAAGTTTTTGCACCTTAAGTTTGATTTATAATTAATGCAATTTTAACCACACAAAAAGTTTAAAATTAAATATTTGGAACGAGGTTATTTTTTAGAGTGTTGTAGGTCATACTGTGCCTTGACTGTGTTTTCTATTTAATTTATTTAATTACTGCACCAAGTACAGCATACTTTCTAAAATTATGACTTACGCTTTATCGTCGCCTCCATGACCGCCTCCGTTTGCTGAGCTGGCGCTGAAACTGGCTGAAAAATCGCCGACTGAGAACGAAGCCGATTGAGACTGGGCTTCACCGTGTCCAGTAGCGGCTGCAGAACTTGCAGCAGCTGCAGAACCACCACCGCCACCGTGGCCTACTTCGTGGCCGACTTCGTGGTGTCCGCCGCCGCCACCGCCGTGGTGCCCGCCGCCTTCACCGCCTCCGAGAAAACCGCCAAACAGCCCGTGCTTCTTCCCAAGAAAGTGGTCCAGAACTGAAATTCAAGAATATTGTAAAAAAACACTTTCAAACTTTTTACATTATTAAACAAGAACGTGTTAAATATTGACATTTGGTTGATTTTGTTTAATTGGGAGGGGAAAACCTTCAGTTTCGTTATTGCAATTACTACTAACCAGTTTCGCCTTGTGCACCTTCCGCAAATTACAAATTTATTGTTATCTGTTTACACGTTCATTATTTGTTGATTAAGCAGGAAAATGTCATTACCAAATTCATTGCGAGCAATAAAACACTGCTTTGGCAACATTTTCAACACCACAACGAACAATTTCTTGCAAATTTTCATAAAGCATGCAAAAGTTTAAAAAAATTCTTATTGTTAATAAATTTAATTTAATTTTGGGAGACATAAATTCAAAATTTCGTTTTTTACAACCCTATTTTCTATTACTAAGCCAACAGCCCAATAAAGTTTTCAATGAAGTGGGTATAGATCTTAAAAAACTACCTTTCTTCACAACAAATGATTATGACATTTTTCAAACTAACTGCTACTTATTTAATGTTGCTGTTTTAAAGAAAAATGTACAAAGTCAATCTTTTTTTATTATAAACTAGACAGTATGTAATGTTAATTAAAGTTGGATAGTGTAGTAGTACTGTTGTCTAAAGTGTTGTTTTTGTTTCTTGATAAAAGTATTACTTTTATTGTGACTGCAAGAAAAACCCAACATTTATTTATGAGATGAATCATAAGATTCCTCTAAACAATAATCGTTGAGAATAATATATCCTGAAGGTGCGACCTGTATAAAAATAAAAGTCGTTTTTACCTGGGGAAGGCCCAGCGGCGGCCATTGCCACAAAGAGAAGAACGAAAATTCCCAACTTGGACATTTTGGAATATGGTACAGTTGGGCCGTTGGGCCTGATATATGAAGAAAAACCCCTCTCCCATGTAGGAAGCGGGCATCCAAGGTTTTCTTCATTTTAAAAACTTCTCATTACCACATCCGCCGGTTATCCACCTTGGTAGGCCACTAGACGAAAGGTCATGCGAGATCGATGTAGTACGATCGGAAGGGCGAGAACGTTTCGCAAAAATCCGCCTCAGATTAGATACAATTACGAGAAACAAATCAAGGATAAAGGAATGAAAATGGGTTTTGTACGTTGGCCCTGTCAGTCTTTGCGACGGACACCTTGGTTAAGCATGTTACGAGGAGGAACATTTAAATCCTCTTCCTCTCGGGACAATTCCGTTTCAGTACGTACAACTGTCATTGAATTTTTGTTACTAAATTTCATTTCTTAAAAACCTTTGCTTTCGTGTCTTCAATCGTAGGAACTTTTGCTTCCTAGTAAACTTAATAGTAATTAATCGTACTGATGCTAAATAATCTCACCTTGTGAGTGTTTATTCGCCTGCTTATTAACTTAAATTATTAACAGCTAACATTGATTCTGGCACATTCTTGTCTTGTGTCTGCTACTCACAATTGGCTGATTGATTGATTTAAATGAGGTGTTCGAACCAATTTCCTTCTGCGCTTACACAATAACCCAACATATCATAAAACGGTCCTTGGACTTGGTAAATTTGAATGGGAGTTTTGTTTCACGTGTATTTCTATAACAACTTGGAATTGGTACTCATTTTCAAAACCTTCAGGATTACTGTAGATGAAACTGGTTAAGACCGAGAGAGAGAGAGAGAGAGAGAGAGAGAGAGAGAGAGAGAGTGAGTGAGAGAGAGATAAAGAGATAGATAGAAAGAAAGTGAGAGAATGAGAGAGGAAGAAAAAGAGAGAGAGAGAGAAAGAAAGAGTGGGCGAGATAGAGAGAAAGAAGAGAGAGAGTGAGAGACGGTGGGATGGAAGGAGGGAGAGAGAGAGATAAAGAGATATATAGATAGAGAGACAGTGAGAGAATGAGAGAGAGAGACAGAGAGAACTTAAAAGAAAGAAGGATAGAAACGGAGGGAGAAAGAAAGAGAGAGCGAGTGATAGATTGATAGATAGAGGTAGATAGAAAGAGATAAAGAGAGTGTGTGAGAGAGAGAGAGAGTAGAAAGAATATTGTCTCTTATTTCTGCTTCGTTTTTCTAATATAGAAATATAAAGAGAAAAAAAGAAAGAAAAGGGGGTGTGTTGAAAGAGAGGTTTAGAAAGTGTGGGGAAGAATGGGACGATTGAAGTCAGAGAAGAGAGAGAAAGAACTCGAAAGAAAGAAGGATAGAAAGGGAGGGAGAAAGAGAGAGAGAGAGAGAGAGAGAAAGAGATAGATAGAAAGAGAAAAAGAGAGAGAGTGAGAGACAGAGAGAAAGAAAAAGAGAGAGAGAAAGCAAGAGTGGGCGAGATAGAGAGAAAGGAGAGAGCGAGAGAGAGAGTGAGAATGAGAGAGAGAGAGAGTGAAAGAGAGGACTGTTCCTATTATGTGCTGGTTCGATGAACACTGAAACATACGGTATAAGTTACCAGATGCTTCCAGTTAATTAAGCTATTTATCTAACTATTTATCTCAATCAATCTTTATCTATCTCTATTTCTAAATCTATCTATTTCTCTATATTTCTATATCTATCTACCTCTATTTCTATCTCCATCCATCGATCTATCTACAAAGAATCAATATATGTATCTAATATATCTATATCTACCTCTTTCTCAATTTTTATCATCTATGATTATGTATCTATTTATCTATAAATCAATCTAATCTCAACCTATCTACCTACCATCTTTATCTGTCCGGCTCTAACTATCTCTTTTTGTATGACTCTGTCTATCTTCATCTCTATATCTCTTTCTCTCTATTTATCTCTTTTTCAATTATTCATTGTCTTTGTATCACGCTCATTAAACTCCTCAGTCTTTATCATTCTTGCCAACCACGCTCAATTACTCTTTCTCGTACATAGTCCTTTTTTTCTCTAACTACTTACATTTAATATTTTCAAGTGAATAAAGTAATAAACTAAAACTACATAATAAGATAGCCATTCACAAGTATTATTAAAAATTTTAAAAGAAATGAACCTATCACACTCTGAATCTATAATAGTCAATTAATAGAAATTTTTTCATAATAGCATAAAGTATTTATTCAAAGTAGTTGTATAACAGATAGTTGAGTTATTGAGATTGTGATTAACTTTTTTTTGTATAACCTGAATTTTTATTCCGGTATACTGTTTGTTAAGGTTAGCGCACGGAATCTAACATCAAATTGGTTGTTTTTAGAAAATATGATATTCGTAGAATAGCTAGTTTACAACTTGTAAGTAAAATTACGAAAAAGTTACAAAAAATCTATTAGGCTAAAATGCGAGGGTTTATATTGTGAAGATGACATTTGTAATAGCTCGAATATAAAATTTTGATTACAGATACTATAAAGATTTCATGTTTGTCTGTTGTGACTATTGTCATCAGACCTGGTTATAAATGTTAACGAGCAGGGATTTATAAATCTTCGTGAAAATGCTATCTTAGTACGTACATTTATAATTTCTTCATTTCTTGAAAACTTTAACTTTTATATTTTTTAATAACCGCAAATGGTGTGTCTTTGGTATGAATTATCTTTCCTTCTACTAACGTATTTTTGAACTCTCTTGGTCAATTATTTAATTCTAATATGAAATTACTCGATTTACAAAAATAATCATTACCGATATCGCTGTAATTTCATGTTTTAGTGCGATATAATTAGCAGAAATATTTCAACCCAATTCCTTCTTTGACGTTTTATTTCGAAAAGTACAACTAGCACTTTTTTACAATTATCAAATGTTAAACTAGATAGCTTTTACGCGCTGCATATTGTCTGGTCTATGACTCTCGAATCATTTTTTTCTGTATCTCAACTGTGAGGTTGCTTTTTTGTTTGGCCAAATGAAAATTGTAGCAGATTGAATTTAAAAATTATGTTTGGGAAGAATTATTTCATTTGTTGCATATGTGTATTAGTTGTTCTGTTCTGTCCTTTTGTGTCCTATGTTTTTTCGGTGACACGTGCGCTAAACAAATGCGTGACTATTAACAAATGGCAATATTTTGTCCAGAATGAGAAAGAAAACTTATATCTACTAATATAATACATTATTATCAACCACTATTAAAAATTCCATTTCTATTAATTGTGGGTAATAGGGTAATATTTGTCTAGACTTGTTTAGATTTTCTTCAGTTTTCCATTTCAAATTTCCATTTATTAGATTCTCAGGTATATTTTGAAATAATTATTTAATATTAACGCTATGCTATGCAGCTTCAAGGATAGAATTGGACTTTTGCCTCTGTGGCTACGATAAAGACGTATTATCTTTAAGCTGGCCAAAGGAATTAATCCTATTGTATAAATAAAGTTTGAAGTTAAGTTAGCAGGTCACCTGTTGCATTATTTAACAAAATTTAGTACATATAAAGTTAGATGCATATTTTGGCCTATTAATAGTTGTTTATGGTGTAAAATGCGTTTTTTTTATTGATGCACGTTCACTTATAAAACTAAAAGTAAAAGGGTTAAAAAGGTTTTATATGAGATTATATAAATTAGCATTTTATAAATTTCGCCCATTCTCTATCTATCTATCTATCTCACTCTCTGTCTGTCTGTCTCTGTCTGGCTGTCTGTCTATCTGTCTGTCTCTCTCTCTTTTTCACTCTCTTCATACGTTCCATTCTTTCTTCCCTTTCTATCCTTCTTTCTTTCAAGCTCTCTCGCTCTCTTTCTCACTCTCTTCTACTTTCTAAACCTCTCTTTCCTCACACCGTTTTCTTTCTTCTTTTCTCTTTATATTTCAATCTTAGACAAACGAAGCACAAAATATAGGAGTATTCTCTCTGCTCTCTCTCTCTCTCTCTCTCTCTCTCTCTCTCTCTCTCTCTCTCTCACTCTCTTTATCTACCTAGCTCTATCAATCTATTTCTCGCTCTCTGCATTCTCAATTCGTTTCTATCCTTCTTTCTTGCTCACACTTTATAAACATCTCTTTCGTCACACCCTTTTCTTTCTTCTTTTCTCTTTATATTTCTATCTTAGAAAAACGAAGCAGAAAAAAGAGACAATATTCTCTCTGCTCTCTCTCTCTCTCTCTCTCTCTCTCCCGCTCTCTCCCGCTCTCTCCCGCTCTCTCTCGTTATCACTATGTACTTAGCTCCATCAATCTTTCTCTCTCTTTCTTTCTTTCTCCCTCCCTTTCTATCCTTCTTTCTTTCGAGCTCTTTCTCTCTCTTCTCTGACTTCAATCGTCCCATTCTTCCCCACACTTTCTAAACCTCTCTTTCAACACACCTTTTTCTTTCTTTTTTCTCTTTATATTTCTATATTAGAAAAACGAAGCAGAAATAAGAGACAATTTCTTTCTACTCTCTCTCTCTCACGCACTCTCTTTATCTCTTTCTATCTAACTCTATCTATCAATCTATCTCTCGCTCTCTCTTTCTTTCTCCCTCCCTTTCTATCCTTCTTTCTTTTATGTCCTCTCTGTCTGTCTGTCTGTCTCTCTCTCTCTCTCTCTCTCTCTCTCTCTCTCTCTCTCTCTCTTTCCATTCAGGTATTGTTGAAACGCCAGACAAAAATGAAACATAATCTAAAGACATGGTACCCTTATTTTTTTTTTAGTACAAATGATATCTAATTGACTTTAGGGCATTATTTAAATTGATTATTACAACCAGAACAATTTATTTGTTCGGTTGTAATTAATAATAACGCCAACATTTCCTAATGCTTGTTTTCATTTTTTAACTAGGTTTATCTAGTAGATAATTTTTTATTTGACAAATCAGTAGGTACTACAGTTAAGTTTTGTTTCAATCCTGTTTTGGCAGAAAAATGATATTTCCTTCTTGATCCCGAGATTAGATAATCTCATAAGGGGGGCCAAGTGATATGGCA